GTCAGTCATGTTCATAGTGTAAATACAGTCGATTGAAATAGCGAAGGGAAATTCCAGACAGGATTAGCGTTCTTTACGCTCTATACACCTGTTACACACAGCAGAGGCAGGCAGGGCCTCACCCTTTTCTCCGCGTAACTTCACGCATATAATAATAATAAGCTGTGCTTGTATTGTGTAGCGATGGAATTTGCCTCTTTTCAATCTAGTTTCACATTTTCATATTTGATCGAGAAAAGTCAACATGGCCAACATGGAAGTGAGGAGAGAAAGCTGGGTTGTTTACACGCGCGTTTTTTTCGTCTGGGTTCCATATTGTCAGAGTCAATATCGTGGGCGTGATCTACGACCTCTGACCGTGTACCACACAATCTCTTTTTACATTGTTTTCTTATCTCTACTCTCTCTCTCTTTCTCTGTCTCTTTCACTTCTGTCTCTGTTTTGGGGGGTCTTTTCTCGAATGAATCTTGACAACCCATGGTGCGCCCCCGCCGTGTCTCTGCATACCCCTCTTCCCCTTCCATTCCAAGTTCCTCTCTCCCTATTTCTCTCTCACTTCTGTCCTTTCTTTCTTTATATCACTATCGCTGTTTTTCTCTCATATTTCACGGCAGCCCCTTTTCTCTGGCCCCCCCCCCCTCTATCTCTCTCTCTCTCTCTGCACCCCCTCCTCCTCCTCCTCCTCCTCCTCCTCCTCCTTCTTTCTCTACTCTTCCTCCTCTCCTATCAAGCATAAAAACAACGAATTCGATCCCGTTCGGGAAGGGGGAACAGTTTCTCATAATTTACACCCCGATCCGGGAGACTAGTCGATGTCCCTTAGGTCCATGTTTTGCTCCTCTTATTCCACATCTCTCTCTCTCTCTCTCTCTCTCTCTCTCTCTCTCTCTCTCTCCTCTCTCCCTCTCCTACTCCTCCTTCTCCTTTACCTCACCCTCTGTAGTATAATTCCCTCCCTCCCTCCCCTTAGTTCGCCCCACTCCTTTCCCCCAGGCGCGGATCCAGGGTTTCTTAGGGAGGGGGCCCAACTTTCTTACTTTTTTTTTTGCTCCCGAAAATTTGAAATCGCGCCGGGCGAAAAGTCGCTCAGTAGGGGGGGGGGGGGGGGGGGGGGGGGGGGGGGGGGGGGGGGGGGGGGGGGGGGTGGAGGTAAGTTTTTTTTTTTTTTTTTGGTCCTCCAAAATCTTAGCGCTCAAGGGGTGGGGGGGGACCAACCCCAAACCCCCCCCAAAAAGGTAAAAATCACGTGATCTTACATGATTTTTTTTTCTCAAGGGGGGGGGGGGACCGGCACTGCTTTCCCCCCCATCCCTTCCTATTTAGTCGTCATTTCAATCACCATTCTCTCTTTTTTGCCTCTCTTCTTGAGTATACACTGACAGTTCGATCATGGTCCTCGGTTCTATACAGGTTGTATAGTATAGCCAAAGAATGTTTCGCAAGCAAGGTGGATTTATGAACTTGAAGCCTCTCAGCATGCTATTTGTAACGTGACGCAGCGGTCGGTAGGATAAGGCGTGGCTTGCACCATAGACTATGCTTGCACGCACTTTACTCTCCTTCGCTTCATTGACTGAACTTTTTTTTTTTTTCTGAAATAAAATATCTATGGTGTTGTTTCTGAAGTGCCAGACTTCTTTCGCTGCTGAAAGAAAATATTTGTTTTATCCCGCACCTTCTATCCCCGCTACTAGGGACCACGACATGGCGAAACGACTCCACGAACAGTTATGGACAAGAATACGAACATAGAGTCCCATTATTTTGAAGTGAGGTTTGAAGTTAAGAAGAGTATGCGATTTAAACTGTCAGTATTTTGGCACTCGTCCTCCTCCTATTGCGCCAGCGAGCTGATTTCCCCTTTCCACCCCTCCCCCCCCCCCCCCCCCCCCCCCAATTTCTAACACTTTCGCGATATAGACTATAGGTTAACAGGTTATGTATCACAAAGTTGTAATATTCATAGTTCATTCACTACCGGTAGCCTGATTGAGCATCACATAAAGCGTATAATTACTTTGTTTTCATTTTTCTGCCATGCTTTAATTCACTTTCTCGCTAAATTTTAGAAACTGGGCCTGAATATTCTTGATATTTTGTGGTACGTAATACCCAAACGCCCTCGTGCAATACGACGGTCCTTCTAAAATTTGAGGAGGTCGGGATAATTATTATTGTTCATCGCTCTCAAATGTATACGATGACAGGTATGTGCAAACAGTGTCATCATTACTGCCATAAACAGAAACTTGTTTTGTTTTCTTTGCCTCATGTCTCCTATTGCTTGAACTGCCTGAAGAATAAAATATTCTTCAGGTTACCGGATGCAACAGACAATATATGGGTAACTCCTTAAATCAGGGACCCATTTTGTGACATTTTTTGTGTCCCACTTACATAAGGAACCCTACGAATATGTGTGGCTCTGAGTAAAGACAAGCATAATATTGCATCCTCATACCTAGAATCACTTAACAATCTCACTCCACTATTTAAGTCTTTACTCAGAGTGGGAAACCAAAAATGTCACAAAGTGGGTCCCTAATTTATGGAATTACCTATATACTATATTATTATGGACATCGGACATCGCAGCTTCAGCGTGATGGCTCCTATATCTGCCACAGGACATTCGGAAGGCTCGTACCGTCCATGCTTGTACATGTACCATTGACCTACTACGAAATCTTCAAGAGTCTCTTTAAAACACACCTCTTCCAGTCACCTTAATTTAATTTGTATAAAAATTGTTATAGTTGAGTATCCAATAAGTCTTGCTCTGTTATAGCCTATTGCTTCGTTGTCGTCATATATTTCTCTAAGGATTTATTTTGTTATTTTTATGAACCTGTTGTTTGATAATGTGTTGATTGTTTGCTTATTCTTTTGCACACTGTGCATTTTCCCACTTATTTGCATTATACTATTTTTCAAAAAAAAATCTCCATATTTGAAATTGTAATTATCTCTTAAAATCAACAGTTCTAAGTTAAGCGCATAGAGACATTTTTTTAGTAATACGCGATGAGAATCTACTTATTATCATTATAATTAATATAATCATAGCTTTCTGTTCTTGTTTCATCTGTGATATACATATGCGGAGCATTCCCTTTCGATTAAAACAAAAACATGAAAGTGGGTAATAAAGAAAAAACATCGCACGCACCTCCTCGCCCATACCTCGGGGTACCCGCGGGGGAAAGAATGTTTCTGATTTTTTTTCCCGCCTCCTTCATCCCTTCATCCCCCCGAGAGATCACTTGGGGAGGGCATTTCAGAGTGGTGGTTGGAATCCCCCAAATCAGGTTCCTGGGAATAGCTATCGGGACAAATACCCCCCCCCCCCCCCCCCACCACCACCACCACCGCCCTTCAGACAACCGTACGTCGGCCCCGTCTTGCGGCGTGTCTACGATTCACCTCTGGTTGTGCATGGAGTGCCATGCGGAACAGATTCAATGGATTTTCCACATGAATCTTTTATTCAATAATAAAATGGGATACGTATTATTCAATCGATAAAACAGTGGCACCGCGGTTACATAAAACAGTAGATCATTTTCTCACGAGTCTCATATTTTTATACATTGAAGAACCCCTGTATGCAACATAATCTATTAGCATAATACCCGCATTTTTTTTCTGAGGTATATAGCACGAGACACATAGCTTTAACGATCAGAGGTGGATCCAGGACTGTTCATAATGGAGAGGCAAACTTTCGCACTTTCTTTTCCTATTGCTAAAATCCGCCACCACTCCAGATTTTTATTCGTGAAAAAACAAGCAATACTTTTCGTGGTGGAAGAACTGAATATTTTATTGTAGGTAAATAGCTAGTAAGCTCTTAGCGGGGCTCATCAACCATTTTCAGGGCTCTTATTTCTTTGAAAGAATTATATGGTGTTACCCTAAAAAACATTACCTACGGTTCTCCCAGACTTGCTCAGCGTGGTTGGAGGAGGAGGGTGGACCTAATTATCCGCCAACGCAATATTTCTACATTTTTAAAGAAACAGGGGCGTGGTCCTATAGCGCACTCCTATTTCCCCATAAATGTTGTCTTCTGGGTAAAGTAATAAAGTTGCTTTTATCAATAAGGATTACATTTTCAAGAGTGGTCCACTTCGATCTTTTCAAGACGACGCCTCTTTCTTTTGTAAAATTATGTGTGTATAGTGTTGGGAAGTAACGACGCCTTACAATAAATATTGACGCAACAACTTTTTTAATCATGTATGCTAATACTCATGTACTTTCGTATTGTTGTTTGGGAAAAGTGTTTCTATTATAGACTCTCCTTCAAACCACAGACAATGCGTTAGTACAAGTTAATCGGTCAATATTTAGAGATTAATTTGTTTAATCAGCTCTCGGCGTTGCGTTTCATATTACATAATAGCCAGAAAGTGTCTATTATTTTGGATATTCCTGAGAAGCTGTGTTTCACGTCTTAATTTCTCTTCTTTTAAAGCGAAACCCACGCGACTCGGTGCAGATCGTGACGATATATCATATCAGACCAATGTCATGAATGAAATGGTTGCATTCATCGGCCCGAATTCACAAAGCAAGGTTTGAGCTCAGACCAAGGTTTACGTACGTCATATGACGCGTTTTAGACCTTGGTTCAGACCTTGGTCTGAAATGCATTTCACAAAGCCGGTTTGTCCTCAGACCAAGGTTTATGTACGTCATATGACGCGTTTCAGGTTTGAGTTCAGACCTTGGTCTGAAATTACATTTCACAAAGCAAGGTTTGTCCTCAGACCAGGTTTATGTACGTCATCAGACCCGAAATTTACAGACTGCTCAGATAGGAGGTTTGTAATTTCTCAAACCTGGTTTGAGAGCTATCAACCAATCAGGATGCAGCACTGGGTGGAGATAATTTATGCTCGATTGATTTTATCCAAATAATTCACCGCCTAAACAATCTGCGATAGTATCTGGTCAGCCCGATTTTAGTGCAATTGAAATCTCTCAATCTCTCGATCCTTCCTTTCCTTAAAATCGTAAGTATAAAACCTGTACATGTAGTCGAATCCATACTCTTCACGTTACTGAGACTTCATATGTGATATGCTTTATAACTTTCCATTTTCCATGAAATGTTCGGTTTTTACATATCCGACGGCCTCTCAATTCCAGAGTTCAGGGACTGAGTCCGAGGGAGCTCGAGTCCAACGCCCAAGGCGGCGGGGGAGCTCGCACCCTCTTACCCTGGGCTGGAGTTGGGCCTAGCCGGGCCTACAGTAGGCTATATCTGAGTATGTCAGTATGACTGTCATGTTTAATTTCGTCTTGTTGTCAGCAATGCCATGACACATGCCTATTAGAATAGGCCTAGACCTACACTATTATTACAAATTCATGATAATGATAATAATACCAGGCTCTAGCCTAGTAAAGTAGTATAGGCCTGGCAATGATGTCCATCACTTGACTTGTTTCACTGACACTGGTACCTAAATAATAGAAATTAAAATGGCATCAGCAATGCCAATGTTCCCCAAAATGAATCACACTGACAGGCATGGACCAAAAGCTTCAGTCTCTCTATATCGCCGGTTGTTCACTGAGACTACGCCTGGCTCCACTAGACCTCCGATTATAGAATGTCAACAAATGTCAGTTTTAATATTATTTTTATTAAAGAAATGACCCATATCACTCAGACAGTTATTTCTGTCTATGACTAGATCTAGACTAGTATGAGTCGTGACAAGCAAAGCTTAGTTTTATTAAATTTAGATCTGGTTCTGATTGTCTTAATTAACTGGCTTAGTCTCCAGAGCAAGGATCACCCACAAAGACACACACAAGTAATAACATTTCTTTAATTTAAAAACATTGTTTAAACATTTGTTTAATTTTATCTTCACTCTAATAAAGATGGTAGAAATGCAGCTGATTCAGCATAATGAGCTGGTGTACCTGAAGGAGGAGCTGGAGCAATATATAGCAGCACAACCGGGCAGAGGCCTCTGAGTCTGAGATTGGAAAAACCCGCTGGATGATGAGCCTTTTGTTTTAGATTGAGGTAGGCTACTTTGAATTCAAATTCTGTATTGGGAAAGTTGCTGAAAACATGGCCAAACTACTTGATGAATATTGTAACATAGCTATAACAAAAAGGGCTTCTGTTGTAAAATCCAACCCTAGACTATAGTGTCGTTATTAAATGCAGAAATATTTCAATTCATGTTGACCGCCTAATTTCACTGTTCGTTTGCCCCGCTTCGCTGGTCTGCCTACGACCGTGCAAGCCCCCAATGCAATACACATGTGCATTTACATAAATTTATTCAATTTCTAAGCATTTTCTGTCATATTCGATACATTGATAGATTAGTTATGATATTTATTCTTTTACATGGTACTGTAGGTGATGGGAGCATTAATGTTCATAATTTGTGTGTGGGGGCATTTCCCAATACTGTTATTTGGCTTTAATACATGAGGAAATTATTCAGATTATGTGTTGGAAACAGGTTTGTGATTTCTTGTTTTGTGTAAAACTACTTACTACTTAAACTTATTTTTCAAAAGGTGAAGCCGTGAAGGAGATTAGAAAAGGCATAGACAATTTTGTCTTTTACGTTAATTGATTCACACCACATCTAGAAATCAGGATTTTTTTTTTGTAAAGTGACAGTGACAGTTGGGGATGCTGTAAAAATATAATAGCATAAACCAGCAAAAAAATGATTTATTTGAATGCTTGTTTTTTTAATTTTTTAAAAAGGTAATTCGATCTAAAGGATGCACCGTGAGGAGGTGGCATGCCGTGTCATATTCATCTGTTTGCCGAATGGAGAGTAGTGAGTGAGGGATGTTTCCGAAGCTGTTGTCAGAAGAAAGGGACAAGTCATGAAGTTTCCTACAAGTTACAAGGCAATAGTGACTACTATTCAGAAGCAGTTTTTCCAGTACTGCAGATTTCCAGGTTGCTGTTGATGGGAGACACATGTTTACATCAGGAGCCCTGGTGGGGCAAGAGCCAGGTACTACTTCAATAGGAAGAACAGGTACTCCATCGATGTTCAGGTGAAATAAATGAATACATCATGACTGGATCCAGCACGGCTTTCCCTTTAGACCTTTTTTTTTGTACCTTGCAAAATTTTCACATTAGATATATACACTCTCCAGTCTTGTGTGTTGTACATCCATGCTAATTCATTGGTGACCAATGCAAGATTTCTAGTGGCCAAATGGATATTAAAGTAATATTCGCGTACAGGTACTCATTTCACTGCCTTTGTACACAGTTAAGGATATCCAATGGATAGTTAAACTTAAAAATCCTAACACTCGTTAATATCTTTTTAACGAAAGGGAAATTTGAAAAATCAAAACTTGTTCCATCCTTCTATTGGCAATACGGATATGACCTCTAGATTTCTGATATTTTGTTGATGGCCATGGCAATTGGGCCACTGTTTTTGCCATTGATCAATGAAAGAAAAAACAACAAAGAGAAGCATGTAAATTGATCAATGGCAATTACCACTATATATTTTAACTATAGAAAAACAAACGGGTTCATTTCCAATAAAAAGATGCGAGAGTGGGTACCCCCAACCCCCCCCCCCCCCCCCACACACAAACAAAGCATTTGTTGTTTTAGGCTCGAAATGTTTTGTTAAAAGTGAGATTATTTTTGTTTACATTGTTACAAGATAAACAATGAAAACATGAGTTAAAAATGAAGAAATACTTCATCAGTCAATAAATATAGGGTAATTAGAATTTTCTTCCAATTTTTGTTGTATGAATAGATATTGAAAAGCAATTATCACATATTCAACTGCATTTGCATTAATTACCATAAATAACAAGTGAAATTTATACATTTCACGGCCTATCTGAAGTGTGAAATGAGTGAGTTTTCATAACTAATGAATGCCAACATGTTATTTCATATTGACAGGTTGTCTGTGATTATGCTGGGAAAATAACTAGTATCGTTGCAAGGTGGCCTGGACTGGTAGCAGCCACGATGCCAGGATCTTTTCTGAGTGTGCACTGAATTGACAGCTTGATGCTAGGGCATATGAATAACAGTTGATTCTTGGAGATAGACTATAGGGTAGGTACTGTAGATTATTTCTTTATATGAAAACATTTGTTTATTCTTTTTCTTAATCAATCTTGTTTCCTTTTTTGTATTTGGCCAACATGTGACATGTTAGGAATGTTCATTTGGTAATATAGTAACAACTCGCATTAAGTAATTAATTCAAACGAGCTCATGTGCTTTTAAATTCAGTTCACAAATCACAATTAATGTTTTTGATATCTGGATGCAACTTGATTAGTTTGTTGTCAAGTGGAACCTCATAGTTTTTGTATTAGTGACACAGGATTGAATAATTCCTGATTATGTGTACAATACATTGTATCCTTTCTATAGTATTACCCCCCCCCCCCCACCCCCCCTCCAAGAAAAAAAATGAACAAGTCGAAATTAAAAATATTGTTTATGATATTGTTTATTTTGTTCATTCAATTTTGCAGGTATCCATGCCTTCTCTGCCTCATCAGAAGCCATTTCTTCATTCAGAGGGTCGACCACAGATGTGCTTTAAAGGCCATCTGTACTAGTTCAGCCAAAGAGGATTAGACAACCCAGCAAGGTCACTGACGGGAGGCTATCTCATCAATTCAGTTCTCAATTAACATAAGAAAAAGAGGATCATGGGGGATTAACAGGCACAGATTGGGGAAGTTTTCTATATAGAGGGAGCAAGTAGCTAAAAGTAGTACAGTGGGGCTTTAACACTTCACACACAAAAAGGGAGATGTGTGATTGAGCGCATATTTATTAAATGCAAGGATGAGGACGTTCCATGCCTCATCAATACTAAGAGTATTTCAAAATACGGCCCCTCCTTGGTGTTCCCACAATACTTCGTAGTTATGCAGCATTACATCAAGAACCTGGGTGTTGAATATTTTTGATGTTATGTTTAGTTGATAAGTATTTGTTGTCACTCTGACGGTATTTGTAATTAAGTGTTCTCTATAGATTAAATGCACCCGATTTAACTATAATTAGCATTGTACTGCTGAGTTGAGGGTGGGTCAATATAAATTATTTGGTTGGCAGCTAGGGGAGAGTATTCGAACAAATATTATTTACTGTACTAAGCGAAGTCAGAATTAAAGAACTTTTATGTGCAAATTTGAATTTTCGTCACCCATTTTGTTGTATTTCTGATTTTCTTTCTGCTAATAGCGCTACAGTGAGACTTTTAATTGGCCTTCCAGAGCCTCTCTTAACCTCTAGTGGGCTATATTTCATATAAGCATGCTACAAAATTTACAAATGTGAACTGCATTGTTTGAACAAACGGTAGATTACTATTGTGTTGTATGCTCAATTATTTATGTAAAACATGAAAATACAAATACAATATTCTTGCTTTCATATATTTACAAAGATAACTGAAATAGATATGTGTCAGATTATCTCTCTCTCTCTTTCTCCCTTTTTTTTTGGGGGGGGGTGCAGATGTGTGTGTTTGCAGTTTGCATGGTTTTGCATTATGTGTTTCATTGCAAAAAAGAAGAAGAAGAGAGAGAGAGAGAAAGTTGAATAGAGAGAGAGAGGGGACAAAGAAAAAAATTAATAGAGAGAGAAAGGGAGGGAGAGAGAGAGAGAGAGAGAGGGGAGAAAGAAAAAGAATTAATAGAGAGAGAAAAGGAGAGAGAGAGAGAACAAAAATGGGTATAGAAAGAGAGGAGGGACGGGGACAGAGAAAGAGACAGGGAGGGAGAGAGAAAGGAAAGATGGCCATAGAGGAATTTTTAAAAATTAATATTATATGGAAACAAATCATTTACCAGTTGCAATTTTGATGTGAAAAAAATAGCCAGTTGGGGAAACAAACGGGGAACTAGTTAAAATAATAATTGATTGACCATTCTAACAAAATAACTATATAGATGTATAGTAATTAACAATTGCAATCAAATGAATTAATATATTAATCACAATAAAAACTTAACTCATATTAAATCATTATTATTATTATTATTAGGTGATTTTATTGATAAGAATGTGTAACCCCAAAACAATAAGACTCTTACAGTTAATTTAAAAGAGCCCTTGACAACCTTAGATGTATTTATCTAACGAAGGTTTTCAGGTGCCAATGTCAATTTGTTCTGGGTCAGATTGAGTGCTTCACCAGCACCACACAAATGTGAGTACGTGGGGCACTTTCTGCATCGGCGCGCCAGTTTGGTTCGATTAATTCATGAAAATACAATTCAAAAGTTTATTTCAGAGATGTTCTAACCATCATCTTTTCAAGATTGCTCATTAAGATGTCCGGATCGTACTAAGAATGCTTAGTTTAACAGTTTTTTTCAATTCTTAACATTTAAACCCTAGCCCATAAAAATTATGTTAGAAACCCTATGGCTGAGACTAGTTTTACAAACCTTGGTCGGAGGTTTGGGAATTACAGACCAAGGTTTATACAAACCTTCCTTTGTGGAATGGGTTTGAAAATAAACCAGGTTTGAGCTCAGACCGAGGTTTGTACAAACCTTGGTCTGATCAAACCGGGTCTGTCCTCAGACCTCCGTTGTGAATTCGGGCCATCATGTTCATCATGCCAATATCAGTGAAACCAAAAAGGACAATGACCAAATCCTGCTGTCGATAAAGCCAGGTGAAGCCACATCGGAAATGTCCTCAGGAAATGATGGCATGTAGCCTTGCTTTTTTTAATCCTTTCTAGGGACGTGGCGTATACAGATATTGTACACATAGGGGGTGGGTGGAGTGGGGGGGGGGGGGTAGCAGTATCTACTATCTACGTTGCCCAAGACAGTTCGTTCAAACAATTTTGATATATATCTGCAATAATAAATTAGTCCTTTTCTGATACTAAACTTTCTTCGGCCCCTGCAAACGGCGGGGGGGGGGGGGGGTGTGTACCCGATTCCGAATCTTTGATAGTAGCTACATTTTGGTACAAGTCACGAAGATTTCTAACCTATCGCATCGCTCTATTTTACTGTAGGCCTTATCAATATTGTTATCATAGCACATATGGGTGGAGATAGTAGTAACAGAAGTAGTGGTGATATCATTGTTATACCAGGGAGATGTGACTTTTTGTCACATCCCTCTGGTTATACAATCCTACTACACATCCTCTCAAACCGGCGCTATAGTTCTGTTTAGAACTATAAGCTCAAGAACGATTACCAACAGTCCTTTTCAGGACTACACACACACTCAAGAAAGAGAGATTACTGACAGTCCTTTTCAGGATTCCCAATCCTCTCCCTCTCTCACATGGTGCAACCGTAAGCCTACTGTATATTGTTATATATGTTTATAGTATATAGGCATACATGGGGACAAATTCCAGAACATTTTTATCCTATACGTTACAATGTGTTATCATAAATTATATTTATTTAACAACATTTCGCCAGGCTAAAGACCATTCAACAAAGGTTAATATGCCTGATGATTCTACGAAGTCGATAGCCCTGATCTAGCTTAGATCAGACAAAATACGACTGAGAATAATTATTGTAGCTTTTACGTTTGTTGACAGGGAAGCTGTCTTGACAAATACACTGTATATCATGTTTATGTCATTCAAATGTATACGGTATAGCATGTTTCTTATAATTAATGTTTTATACAATGATGGAAGTGAATAAAGTGAATTAAATTGAATTGAATTGTTTGTTTCACAAATTAATGTACTTGGTAACGGAGGCCTCTATCAACATAACGACCAAAGTACCTTGAACTTGCCAAGTGCAATAGAGATGCAGATACCCCTGCACCCCGCCCGCTCCCCCCCCCCCCCCCCCATCCTCACCTCTCCATCTATCATGAGTATGATGGCGATAATTAGGGAATGACTGGCTGCCAGCATCTCCTATTAATGAGGAAATTTAATCCTGGCAATGTGACTTAAAAGCGCAACAAGGTCATAACATTAAGTATGACCTTGTCCTTGAGACAATCGTGCGGCCGTCCTGTAAAAAGAAAGATCGTGACAGAAAAGTTTGATCTGTCGGCGGCGTTGATGCATCATAGGTTATATCATGGTTATATGCATGGGGCGGGGTAAAATGGGGCCCCTTGGATGTTCCCTGAGGTGCATGTGAAAAAGAAGAATTTATCATATCTCGGGGTTTCCTTCCTTCCTTCCTTCCTGATCTTTGCACTCTCAAAAAGCGAAAATGGACCCCACCGACAATCGCCGGTAAGCATAACTGAAACCACTGTTTTCAAGACTTGCTTGCATAAATTATATGCCAGGAGCGTCACTATTTATGGAGCCTTTGGAGGGAGACAGTGGGCGAGGGTGGATAAACTTTACCCATAATCAGCCAAAAAATATCCAACATCTTCTGAAATACCTATAGTTGGTCTGTCCCAATATAAATTATAGGTCCCCATGCTAAATGGGGAGAAGCATACAGAACCAAAGGTGTCACAACAACATTTTCTTTTGGAAAGCATGACGGGGCCGATGGGGGGGGGGGGGACGGGGCACCCGGCCGGTTGGATGAAATTTGCCAAAATGGTATAATCTGCTCGCTAATAGCATAGGCCTCGTACAAGGTCCATGCTTAGTTTGCCAACATAATTTTGCTATATCCTATGTATACATGTAAGTGTGTGTGTGGGAAAGGAGTATGATTCTAAATTGATTGGCTCGAGATGTCACCCTCTCAGGCTCAGTGTAGACCTAAGCTTATGCGTGTCGGGTATACCTTGACCAAGGAGGATATCTCTTTGCCTTGACCAAACAGAGTATTGTAGTAGGCCACAATTTTAAAACTGTAGATGGGTATGTTTCTGGGAAGGGGCTTTTTGAATTATATACCTTTACCATACACCGTTGCCCGTATATAATAAAAATCACTCGACACGTAATACCATACACTAAAATACATGTACATGCACCAGCATATTTATCTGATTATCATGACCTGCGCGACCTTTTCATCCAGTCACCATATCATTATTATAATAGTGAACTCGAGACAAAACAAAATGGTAGACAATTTTTTTTTCCATATTTTTTCCCTCCACAGGGATTTTATTGATTTTCATTTGAACATAAATAAAATTGGCTTTTCAAGATACAAGTATTGATGAACTGTTGAGTTAACACAAAATAACAAATCAATAATTCAATTCTGACACTCATTGAAAGAAAAACAAATACGGAAAAAATATCATTTTAAGTAAACAAATTCCTGAATTGAAACAATGGAAGACAAATCATGGCAATTTCAAGCCTTCTGCACGGTTGGATCTAGGATTGTGAGGGAACAGAATGTTCCCAGAATTCATTTTTGTCCTAGATTAAAATGTCTTTCTAGCCCTTACCATATTACTTAGCAGAAGGAAGTGGGTCAGGAGAGGGGTGACATTAGGCCGACTCCTTTTTTTGTTGTTGGGGGGGGGCACCTTTGTTTCGATGGATTAGTGGGCAGTCCAAAACAGAAAAGTAAGCGAAACAGAGTAATGGCATAAACCAGCCCAAGAATAAGAAAGTAATAAGTGCTTAAAACATAAAAACATTATCTATGCCAATCTCAAAATGGCAATTTAACAGTGGATTGTAGCGAATTAGGTTTGTCGTATACAAAAATATCATAATCTCTGGGTTTTGTCTTCTTTC